TGTGGGTGCCTTCTGTTTTTTTTTTATGTCGGCGTGGGGGGGGTGGAGTAAATTAATTCAAAGCCAAATTGCAGATAAAAAAGTTGCAATGTGCAATAACCCATGTTCTTGTACTTTCTCTCTTAAAGCTTAGGACTCTCAATCTCTTGACATGTCTTTACCCTCACTTCTATCCCTGAGCTTAGCTAAAGCCCAAACTTTTTCTTTAGTATTGGACAGGGTAGGGGAGGGTTATAACCCCTGTCAGCTTTGCCATCTGCATCCCATTGGGGAGATTTCCCTTCACTTGCTGTACAATGGCAGTGAGAGGAAATCCCTGGTGGTCAGCAGGGTCATTAGAACTAGTGTCCCCATTGGAGGATTTGCTATCTGTTCCTAGTTCTGATGACTCAAAGTGGGATTTTCTGTCAGTGATAAGTGTACTGGACAAATGGAGGTGGATCAGGGGGGGAAAAAAACCTGACGGAAGTTCTAATCTCTCAACTCTATAAAAATCTACAAAAATAAACAAAAAAAACAACTTTTGGCTTTAGTTGCACTTTAAAGATCGGTTATTAGGAGGGTCTAAATTTTCTATTCAACATTAATAGGAAAACACTTACTGGTTGTAGATGGGGTCTAAAGTGACTGGGGATCTTGGTGTTTTGTTTGTGTGGGGTTCATTTTTTTTTTTTTTAAGTGCAGTTTTCTTAACCTTTAGGTTAGGATTGATGTATACCTTCTATGTATATTGCTTGCCTTGAACTAGTCGAATGTGCTTTCTTACTCCTAATGTGTTTTTTTCCCCCTTCTGTAACAAGGAAACAACAAGCCCAAATTCTAGAAGTGTGAACACAAAGGTATGCTGGTCCAACTTCTGTTCATTCATACACATGTCAAAAACTAAGTGGTGCCTTTCCCTCATATGATTATTGTACAATAAAGGCACTTGTATTCTATAAAACTACATATGCATAATACTTAAAATCAAGTGCATCCTTAGACCATATCAGTAAACTTTCCCAATATGATAGCCCAAAGGAAAAACTGATGGCGATCCAGTTCACATACAGCAGCTGCTCAGACTGTTTTGGCTAGGGTTTTTTTTTGATTGACATGGTCAATGCCATTCATTGCCATGTCTTTTTGATTGACATGGTCTGTGGAGGAGGTCCTGTACTCCTTGTGGAGGGCTGCCGTCCCTGGTGACGTGGTTGGTCATATTACCTTGGATCAAGTGGCTTCTGCGTTTTGCTATTATTGCTGGAGATCTTATGTGACTGTCCATCATGCATACGGTTAGATGGAATGCAGTGGGACTCATTTCTGAAAATGTGATAAAGATCCCATGGATCTCATAAAATGTGCAGGAAGAATGTAATTTGAAAGGCCAAGTAAATGTCTTAACAGAATAAAGCTGAAGTTTAGAACTGGCATAGGTGCTGGCTGGACTGTAGCAAGGCATGAGATCTGTGCGCGCTCCAGCAATCGTAGAACATTTAAGTTTAACGCCTTTCCCACAAATTTGTTACTCTCCATCCTCTTCCTGTGTGTAGGGTGTGGTTTTGTCGTGGGGGCATTTCTTCTACTTGTGATATTTTCTGCTTAAAGGCAATAAACATGCCAATGCAGACATGTATACTGTCTTACTGCTATTTGAATCATAACTTTACTGACCAATACAGAGGCTGTAATTGCAGAGCTGCTGTAATGTTGATCCAAAGGTCTATTGAGTGAGTTCTATTAACCTTTTTGTCCTGGAAGTTCAAATGAGAGGTTACGGGCAAC